ATCTGCTCAGGACCCTTCCAACCCTACCAACTGTAAAACTATGAAACTATTTCCATGCTTACCATTTAATATAGTGTTAAAGAAAAAAAGTCTCAAAGTATTCTAAAAAATACTGAATTTTTTAAGCCCAATTTTGAAACTTCAGGAAAAAATGTTAAGTTAACAATCACATATAATACTAAAATAGCCTTTTTGTGTCATGCAACCATATCCCAGCTCACTGACATCCCAGGGCCTGCTCCCATTCTCCATTTCATTACTGCAAGGGTCAGGAAAACACAGAGTGCTCTGTACAAGGGCTATCACCATTCAAAGGATGTCATATATACATACAGGACTGATGGACCAGGTACTCAACAGTTTTTATTCTAACTAAAACAGTGCAAGCTACAGATTTTTTCTCTGTCACTTTCTGCTGTCCCTTGGGGATATTAATGCTGCTGTAAAGGTGGTATTGCAAATAATTAAAAAACATAGGAGAAATAGAGCAACGATACAAATAATTTATCAGCTTTATTAGCTACAGTGGTGAAGAGGTTTAGCGGGATATAATCTGAGCTTTCTCTTGAACATCACAGCAAATTACAGGATTACTTCTGGTTGACTTCATTCCCTATGGAAACAATAGACTCCACTAAATCTGTGGTATTATAAGCAAATGCACATTCCATTTTGTGCCTGTCATACTGCTGTGTATTACCCCAGGATACCCATTCTCTGTAGATCTGTAATTGGGCAGATTCCCTTCTTTAAATTCTTCCCTCTGTAACTCTGACAACAGAATAGCTTCCTTCAAAATTCTACATGATTGCTTCTGTTAAAGTAACCAGAAACTTACTTCTTCCCATTCTGAAGTGAAGGACGGTGTTCGTTCAGAATTTCCTTTAGAATTCTGTTGTCTTAGTGTGGCTTCACCCCAGTTACTTCGCGTTTTCTTCTCATTAGGTGGATAGGAAATAAGATTAGAGTCTGACTTTGAAACATTTTTGGATAAATGCATTTCAAGCAGTGCCTTAGGCAAAGATCGTATCCTTCCAAGTGTGCAAGCTCGCTCCACAAATCCCCCTGTAGTGATTACCCATTGCTCGCCCAGCCTTGTTGTTGTGCCAACCAATGTACGATTTTCTACTGGTTTAATTTTAGTATAAAATATGGTTCTGCTTACAACTTGTGGTTTTTTTTTCTTAACTGGGGCATCAGTGCTGTTTTCTTGTTGTGTCCATGTCTGTTGCACTGTATTCTTGTTTAAGCTGCTTTTCCTTTGTGAATCATTGCACTGGTCTACTCTGCTATACAGCTGGAGTGGATTTTCAGGTGGGTCACAGGCAGGTGATGATCCATGAAGCAGACCAGCAAATTGTTCAGCAGGGTTTTCTTCAGGAAGCTCATTTTCAGTGGATACTTCTTGTAGACAAAGATTCTCTGCAAAATAGTAAGGGGTTATCTGTTTTATAGTTTTCATCAAGTAGTTTTATAATAGTTACACCATTCTCAACATGCACATGTCTTTGGTATGCAGCTTGGGTCTTACATATGTTTAGAAACAAAAGATACTGCTTGTCATAACACAGTCATGAACTGCTTCATTGTTAGTCTGTTAGAAATCAGCACGTTAGGGTTGGGTGTTTTTTGTTTGTTTGTTTTGTTTTTTCTTCCTTGATAATTTGACTAATTGCCTAGATTAATTGGAAACCAAACACAGACAGCTTGGGAGTGCTGAAAATAAAAGCTAGTAGAAAGGGAAATTGTTAAGGTACTTTAGGTCATTTGTATCCTATTAAATTGGCAGTGTCTCCTTCAATTTGTCACTGAGAAGGAATGCATACAAATAAGAGTGTTGTAAAATAGGTCATAAAAGGCCAGGTATCTTTTCAGATGGTAACGTGAATTTGGAATTTTTTTATTAATAGCAACACTTTACCATTAACAAGTTCTCTTTTTACAGGCTATTTCATAAATTTACATTTAAATGTTTAGATTTTTTTTACAAAATTCAAAAAGTTTTGGATTTTATTTTACGTAAAATACAAGATGATTTTCAAAGTGATGACAATCACTGAAAAAGAAAAGGAAATCACTTATGTGTTTATTGTCTCCAAACTGTGCCTTGTTTCTCATTTTTAAAGGCAGCAGTAGTACACTTCTGTGCAACTGAGTATAACCTACACCCATACTTTTCAGTAATTTATTTCCCCTTTTAAACTTAGATCCACATAAACTAAGAAAAATGGTGATGACTCTACAAACAGAAGTTATAGTGCTTTAAGTGTATTCTTTTCATTCTTAAAGTCTACGTTTTTCACATTCCCAAAACCTAGACTTTAAAAACAATTCCAAAAATCATGCAAGCTGGCAACACTGCAGTTGCAACCTTGAAAGTCAAAACAATACAAAATCTCTATGCGCAAATTCCAAGCCGGAGCTATAGCTTTCAGAAGAGATTCAATTTATCATTTTCACAGACAGCAGAAAAAAATGATGTTTCCTCCCATTTGGTGAGGCAGTCACCTGTTATAAGCCATGATTCACCAAAGCATGGGTCATAAAGCCCTTCCTGCTTGCCCAAAAGAAGAAAATATAGTTTAAGAAACAAGCACTGGAAAAAATTAAGACTTGGGAGGTAAGCTGGTATACATGACACCTTCTCTCTCACCTGTCAATTGTTTACAAAAGTTCCCCAACTTTTGCTCAAAGTCTATTGCTCAGGAAGTGTTATGAAATACTTAAAAGAAAAGAAACCCCTACATATCTCCTTTTATAGCCAGGGGTCTAAAATTTAGTTTAGGAAGACCTGAACACTTTGCAACAGGAAGGATGAGAGAAGTAATGACAAAAGATAGGACACAAGATATGACTGCTGCAGACTCAGGAACACCAAGATGACAAGTTTGAAAAACAAGGAAAATCCTTATTTTCTTTTGACCTGGAAAGTTGCTAGGTGAATTCGGTGGTATGTCACCTTGAGGACAAGTGTGAAAGGAGGTAGCAGCTATGTATAGGCCTAGTTTCTTGACTCTTTGTGACAGAAAAAAATGTTTGTACCTAATAACCATAACTGTGAAATTCCTCTGTCCAGATGTCTCTGATTGGCTTGGAGGTAAGTGTCTTCATTGGAAGTTGTCTTTTTATTATTGTTCATTTTCTTTTTTATCATTTGCTCTAGAGTGTTGTAAATTTGCCTGTATGCTCTCCTTCCTTTTCTTAGTTTCACTTGTGTGCCAAGTAAATTCTAATTAAAACATATATATAGGTTTATATTTGCTTGGTTTTAAATGGTTTTAATTCTGTGAGTATATAGAAAGAGGAGGAGACTGGCAATAAGTAATTAAATTTACCCTTCAAAATACTTCGGCAGTTCCAATTCTGGTGAATAATAAGTGAGTCTAGAATTGGAAATGAGTACAATGATCTTTGATAGGTATCAAATGGCAAGGTGCTAAAAGGATAGAAGTAAGATTGTTAAAGTGTTAGGACTTTCAAAATGCAACAGTGTAAGTTATAGTCTTTCCAAATACACAATTTACAAGGTGCTTTAGAAGACAAATAAAATATATGTTTTAAGTAATTGGGTTAGTGTTTTTGTTCAAGTCACAATGAACAGAATTCTGTAATTCTTCCAGAGTTACTTTTTTAGACCATTTACAACTGAACTTGAATGTGAACTAAAATGTCTGTGTGTACTTTGGGTGTAGTTAGCATTGAATTATTTTCACTGTACTTTGCAAGCAAGACATTTAATGAGCTTTTCAGGATTTTAGCTTGCAATGCTTCTTGTAGCAAGATTTAACTACATTTCACAATTATTTAATACATTTTTCCAAATTTATATGATTAGGGATTGCAAAATGTAAGCACAGACCACTGTTCAGAAGCAACCCTTGTTTTATGAACCCATCATACTTCCTTCTCAGCAAGCAACACTTTCATGAATGGAATGGTCTTGCAAACAAAGCATTATGATAATGTTTCAAGACCTCACTCTTAAACGAAAGTAAGTAAAGTTTAATTTGAAGTAAGGATCCAGTTTTCCCTCAAATGAGAACCTTTTTATGTAAATTTCTGTTGACTAAGCAACACATTGGTGGTATTGATGCATCCATCTTTCAGGAATGAAGCCCAAACATGCAAGAAAACAAAGAACAAACAATAATCAGTGTGTGCCCCTGTAAAGACTTCTGCATTTGTTACATCATGGTTTGTGCCAACTTAGCCCAAAATGGTACTTTCAGTGACGTATACTTGTGTTCACATTTTAATCAGTGAAGGCTTTCTTTTTCTTTTTTTTTACCACTTACACCCAGCGAAAGTCCTGCAATTAATATTCAATATGTTAATTTTAACTGAATATCATTTTAGTAGGGTACATTATACGTGGGACTGGGAGCTCTGCTTATTATTAAAGATCCTCAAAGCATCCATTACTTCATAAAATTTTAATCATTTGGACTGGCATTTCCCACGCAGGTATGCACCGTAGTCTGAAGTTTTCAGGAACATTAAAGCCAAAATGTTTAGGGATTGCAAAATTAGGGAGATTATGCTTAGGGGCAACCAACATGGGTTCATTAGAGGCAGGTCCTGT